ACATTTCTGAAGAAGGGTCCAGACCCAAAACGTCAGCTTTCCTGCTCCTCTGATGCTGCCTGGCCTGCTGTGTTCATCCAGCTCTACACCTTGTTATCTCAGACTCCAGCATCGGCAGTTCCTACCATCTCTGTTGCAATTTATTTAGATGTGCAGTTGGCTAAAAACATTTTAAATTACATTTACAATATTTAAAATTAAACACAATCAAACACAATTGTCTCCTTCATTCGTCTGTGTGGTATAGAGATTGAGGATGGAGAGATCACAAGGGATGATAATTTTTGAAGAATGAGAAAGCATTACTGAAACAAACATTCCCTGAGGGCTTAAATCATGTGGCAGTAGAGGTCATAATGGTGTAGACTGTGACTAGTGTGAGGAATGATGGCACAAATGGCCTTTTCCTATGGCATTCCTTCTTGGATTTTCATCAATAGCTCTCCATGATGGATAGAAAAGGTAGAGATCTATAGCCTAGTGTTCAGACAGATTTGGGGACCATTGTCCATGAATCACAGCAAACTAATGGAGTTTAGAAATCACAAGAAATAACTCTCATTTAAATGGATTCTGGCAGGGTTGGCAGGGTAAATGTTGAGACACTGTTTCCTCTGGCTGAAAGGTCTAGAATTAGGGATCTCAATCTCAAAATAAGGGGTCAGTCCATTAGGATTGAGATGAGGAAACATTCCTTCACACAGAGGGTTGAGAGTATTGAGATGGCAGAGAGATATGATTGTCTGGCTATTGTGTATGTTCAGAGTTGTGTCAGGGATTGGTTAGCTCAGTTGGCTGGATGGCTGGTCTGCAATACAGAGTGATACCAAAGGTGTGGGTTCAAGTTGGGCCCTGGGTAGTGTTGCATAACAGAGAGACCCAGGGGTTCAGGTACATAATTCTTTGAAGTTTGCGTCATATGTAGACAGGGTGGTTAAGTAGGTGCTTAGCACACGTCTTCGTTGCTCAGACCTTTGAGCATAGGAATTGGGATGTCATGTTGTACAGGACATTGGTGAGGCCTCTTCTGGAGTACCTTGTACAGTCCTGGTTGCCCTTCTATAGGAAGGATATTATTAAATTGGAAAGAGTTCAGAAAAGATTTAACATGATGTTCCCGGGAATGGAGGGTTTGAGTGATAAAAATAGGCTGGATAGGCTGGGACTCTTTTCACTGGAGTGTAGGAGGTGGAGGGGTGACCTTATTGAGGTTTATAAAATCATGAGGGGCATAGATAAGGTAAATAGCAAGGGTGTTTTCCCTAAGGTGGCGTAGTTCAAAACTATGGAGCATATTTTTAAGATGAGAGGAGAAAGTTTTAAAAAGGACATGAGGGCTAAGGTCTTTTCTCCAGTGTACAGAAGTCCAAAACTAGAGGGCAAAGGTTTAAGGTGTGAAGGGAAAGATTTAAAAAGGACCTGAGAGGTAACTTTTTCACAGTGAGGGTGGTTCGTGTAGGGAAGGAGCTGCTAGAGTAAGTGGTAGAGACAGCTCGTTACAACATTGTAAAAGACATTTGAACAGGTACATGGATAGGAAAGGTTTAGAGGGATATGGGCCAAAAGCAGGCACATGAGACGAGTTCAGTTTCAGAAACCTAATTGGCATGGACATGTTGGGCCAAAGGGCCTGTTTCCATGCTGTATGACTCCAGGTCTCTATACCGGTGGTTTAAAATTCCCACGGGCTTTTGTCTGTGATCTTTTAATATTGATAGTAACTCATTCATCTTGAATACTTTCCCTGTCACCCTTCAGACCATCAAAGTGAGTTTGCAAATCTTCGACAACTTCTGACTGATTTTGCCCCAAATTTGCAGAGTCGCTGAGATGGGTTGATTCTAACCGGGTCAATGCAATCAGATTAAGGACAGCATGATATACATCACAGGACAGAAACTAAATCTGCATTGCCTACATTGATATTTTATATCATTTCCAAATTGGAGACATTGTTGATGATTTTGGAAATTAAGTTCCTTCTTTCCTTCCCCAAGATTTTCATAAGCATATTATTTTTTGCAGTTTTGGTTCTATTTCTTGCAAACGTATAGTGTTACTTCAGCTGTTCCAGAATGTGATATTCCCTTCAGAGGAGTCCTTATTGCTGTTTGGAAACTCTCTATGCAGGTACTGTGACACAATACTCAGGGGACAGTGATCTCATGATATACCTGCTCCCAAAAAGTTCTTCACTTAAAAAGGCAGCAGTTTTGCTGAGATCAAAAATAAGTGGCAAAATTCTCAAACCTGATCAAATCCACCAGCCTGCTTCAGCTCAATTCCAATGCAGAGTTAGGAAATACATGTCAAAATAAAGTGGGAAATGTCAGATAATCATTTTCCAAAGTGATGCACACAGGAAGCTGTGTTCTCACATACCCACAACTCATGTTGCTTCTATTGCTTTTTTTTTGTTTACCCAGCCAACATTCCTAACTTTTCACTGATCCTTTTCTGTACTAATCTCCTCCTGTCTTACAGATACAGAAAAACCTATGAACCTCTGGTTGTCTTTGTCCCTTTTTAAACAAAAAATCTTCCGTTGCTGTTGCCAGCCTTGGCTGGTCCCAACAAATGATAGAACATGTTAGAGGAGTTGACTGGCCTGCTCCTGTGTCACTTCATATGCTCACATCACTGTTTGGGAATTGTTAATTGTCGTTTTTGTCATTTACGATTAGCCGGCACAGTCTAAAGCGGACTGGCTTCTGTGAATTCACTTTTAAAGGAGGAATGGTTTCAGCGTTGCGTTACTCTCTGACCCTGTCCCCCTCCACTAATATCTCCACAGCCTGATGAAAACTTGGAGCCGTTTTTTGACTCACTGGTGAAGCAGACTCAAGTGCCCAACATCTTCTCACTGCAGCTTTGTGGAACAGGCTTCTCTTTGAATGACTCGGACTCTGCATCGTCTGTGGGGGGGAGCATGGTGAGTGCAGCAAACCCCCACCCTTCTCCCACAGCCCCTGCGCCCTTTTATGTTTAGGCCCAACTGGCAGTTAAATGCCTCAGTGGTCCATTGTTCTGTGAACAGGAATAATCTTCCTTATTCCTCCAGGAGCAGCCGAAGCTTAGAAATGGAAAATGCTGTTGGATGCTGGAAATCTGAAGTAAAGACAAAAATATCAGGAGCACTTGGAGGAGATGTTGGAGTAATGCTAATTAATATCATGGGAAGAATAATCTAGAGGCCTACCCTCACACAATGGTGACATGAATTCAAATCCGTCGATGGTAGCTGGCAGAACTTAAATTGAATTCATTAATCCAGAATTGAAAGTTGGTCTCGATTATAGTGGCCATGAAACTTTCACTGATTGTTAGAAAAGTCCACCTGGTTCACCAATGCCCTTTAAGGAAGGAAATCCGCCATCCTTATCTGGTCTGGCCTACACGTAACTCCAGATCCACAGCAACCTGATTGGGTCTTATCTCCCCTCTGAAACGGCTGAGTGAGCTGCTCAGTTCAGGGGCAATTAGGGATGGGCAATTAATGCTGACCCTTCCAGCGATGCCCACACCCCATGAGAGAATAAAGAAACATAAACCTTAGCAGATCGGGCAGCCTCTGTGGAGTGAGAGAAAGGTCATTGATCTGAAACATTAATTCTGTTTCTTTCTGCAAATGCTGCCAGACCTGTTGAACATTTTCAACAATTTTTTTTTATTGTTACAACTGCCTGGATTTCCCTGATAAGATATGATCTTGTCATTGAAAAAGTTGCTAAAACACAACTTGAAAAACAGTCAAGATACTGAAAACAGAAGCTTGTGCAAGTCTTGTATTCAGTGACAAGAAAATTTGTACTTCTGTGTGTGTCAAATTCCATAAGCTAACGCTGGTGAAGCCTTTACCTGATGATGTGTATTGCAGACGTCAAACGCAAAACTCTGTTTTGAAGCTCAAGAACAAAATGAAAATTGCAGTTGACTCCCATTGAAATCTGTTAGCACCTCTCAGATAAAGCTGGATTATAATTCTAAACACAACCCTCTAAAGAAGCAGACCAAGAGATACCATTACTTGGAAAGAGAGCGCTGGAGGATGAGGGGAGATTGAGTTGAAAGAGCTTATAGGTGAAGTCACCAAAGCTCTCTCTCATTAGAAATAAACTGCTGGTGGTGTTGGTTTAACCTGAGGGTCACTATACCTCAGGCAAGGGGGTGAGGTTGCGAAGGAGACCCCTTCATGGTAATCTCAGCTGGTGTGGGAAGTGAACCCATGCTGCTCAGTATTACAAGCCAACCATTCAACCACCTAAACTAACCAGCCCCTCAGGCTCATAGTCCTTGCAGTTTCAAACAGTAAGAGTTGATCGAATTGATACATATCAGATTCTGCCAGGATTTGACAGGGTAAATACCGACAGTCTGGATCCTTTGACAACAAGGTGCAGAGCTGGATGAACACAGCAGGCCAAGCAGCATCATAGGAGCAGGAAGGCTGACGTTTCTGGCCTAGACCCTTCATCAGAAAAGGGGGAGGGGAAGGGGGTTCTGAAATAAATAGGGGGAGAGTGGGAGGCGGATAGAAGAGGGATAGAGGAGAGGATAGGTGGAGAGGAAACAAACAGGTCGAAGAGGCGGGGATGGAGCCAGTAAAGGTGAGTGTAGGTGGGGAGTTAGGAAGGGGATAGGTCAGTCCAGGGAGGACGGACAGGTCAAGGGGGCGGGATGAGGTTAGTCGGTAGGAGATGGGGGTGCGGCTTGAGGTGGGAGGAGGGGATAGGTGGGAGGAAGAACAGGTTAGGGAGGCGGGGACGAGCTGGACTGGTTTTGGGATGCGGTA